CCCCCCCCCCCCCCCAAACCCCACCCCCAGGGCCTTCTTGTCAGTTATTGGCTGGAACAGTTTGTTATGTTTCGTGGAGCGGGTCGCCGCAGTTTGCGTTTGTTGCCATTTGTGGAGCCTGGGTTGTCTGCATAGACTGCGTTTTTTTACAGTGTGTTTAGGGGACAGGCAGCTAGCGGATAGTGAGTAGATGTTTGCTGTATGTGACAAAAAAGGTTTTGCCCTAAAAAACATGTGACATCGCTTAGAGCACCTTTAAAACTTTATTTGAATATGCGAGACATGTTCATTTTGTATTGAATGTTATTTAATCTATATCTAGATTATATTAAATATTATGATGTAAAGACAACCAACATATGCATAAGTTCATGTATGGACATGAGAGACAAAAAAATCACAAGACAGGTTAATAACTTTTGGAGGCTGGCTCTATTTATCATCAAAACAAATGACAGATTAGATGGATGAGGGCGAGGGTCCTCGCTCCGATGCTGGACAACAGGTCATCAAACTGGGCGCGGGACAGGCGGAAGTACCGCTGACTGCGGCCGTCATCCAGCGCAACTCCTGGAGCGAGCAAATGGTGAAACTCGCCAAACGGTTCGCCTCTGAAGGGTCCGGTGGACACAAATATATGGCGACGATGATCCCCACACCGCTGTTCTGCTCTCCAGAGAAAATACAGAGCCGTGACTCTCTCGATGAATGCTCGATCAACATAAAAAAGATGGCCGTCAAAGGGTTTCGATTCTGATGCGCTTGACACGTGTACATTTCGCTTCAAACTTTTGTTTTTACTTGCGTCAGTTTCACTCTTCACCCGCGAATTAACACAAAACGGTCAAGCGTCAAACTAGACACGGTAGACGCGAATTTGACACGCTATTCGCGTCCAGTGTGAACACACAGCAAGGCGTTCACACCGGAAACTCATTTTTGCCCGCAAAATAGATTGCAAAACAAGCAGGCTGCACCGCTTAACTGGATGTCGCAGCAAGAGATTTGTTAATATTCGAGCATTGTTGGCTAGGTATCGGATCATATTTTTTTTCTCCCCTCCAATCTAGTGTTCTGGGCCAGTATGAGCACGATACTGATGCTGTGGATCGGATCGGGACATCCCTACTCTGTGCATGTCCTCGCACGGAGCAAGGCTGAACATAGGAGCTCAGCTTCACAGACTATTAAAGCAGCGCTCAGTAAGACTGGGAACTTCTTTGCTGTTTTCTCGCAGGTTTCTCTCTCGAGCTCCCCCTACAGTTTCGGAGTATATATATATGAGAAAACTGTCGCAAACTCGTTGTCAACTCCCCCCCTCCCCTCCCCTCCCATCTCGTTCAGGCCATGTGCATTTGTTTTCAGAGAAGCCGGCGAACATAGGGGTCGATTTTGTCCCCACCACTTTTGAAACATCTCGCGTCATAGATGTACCAATGCAAATAGATCATCTCCAGTTAACAGCATTCGTTTCATTTGTTTGTTAAATAACAGGCAATCTAGCACTGAAATGTGTTACCTTCTCTCAGAAACGCGCTTCAATCCGTGGCGGAGATTCTTTCCGGTGAAATCAGAAATCAAAATGCACACAAACGTGTCCCTTTTTCTCATGGGTTCTAATTCCGCTCTCGTATATCGTATATCAAAACATATAAAACCACTGATAAACATTATATCAATTCAACCACTGATAAAAATTATTGGTTTTGATGAGGGGAAAAAAAAAACTATTCGAGTGTAGAATTCTACCTCTGGACGGACCATCACTGTACATGCTATCAAGGGCGTATATTTTCTATACTCGGACATTGTGCTTATTTTTTATTTATGTGCATCAGGAAGCTACAGGACATCGTCTTTCAAAACATGACCTACTCGAAAGAGAAAAAAAGAATGAATGCGTTATTGTACCCAGCACTTTTGAAAATGCCCTTCCGAAAGCGTCTCTGTGCTCAGCACATTTCAAACCAAACTGACGCCCGAGCCATGTCCACTGAGGTATGATTCTCAGAACAATATTATTCAAATGATGAGAGTGTATATTTTTATTGTGTTACCAAACGTAATCAGTAACATTATGGTTAAAAATCAATACTATAAGAAATATTTCCGCTATTTATTTATTTTTAGTTTAGCCTACAGCTATAGCTTAGATTATGCATTATCAAAATAAATGTTACGTTACATTCTTCTATCATTTTTCTGGTGATCCGAGTTGTCTATCGTAACGATTGACCAAAGAAAGTCAAACACGTTTAATTTGTTTATTACAAGTTTGTTTATTTTATTATTGAAGCTTGAGACCGGTGGTACTGGTGGTCTGGAGTGCCCCTTACTCGGAGTTGATGACACTTGCCAACGCTTGTAGGTAAAAAGGAAAAAGAAAATGTATCAATCTTTTATCAACATCATTTATACACAAGGTCAAACTAGCACAGAGTTGCATGTGTGAAGTTGCAATGCAATTTTGTCGTTTACTTATAGTTCTGTTTGTGTAAATGTGATTAAATAAATATAAAAAGTTGCATTATTAGCTAGCAGCTCTCGTGTCGGTTTATGCATTATATATCAAGTCAGCACAGTATATAACGTTACTAATTCTGAGGCTGACGACAAGCTAAACTAATGCATAATTTGTAGAATTTCATATCGATTTATAGGCGATCTGAGAAACACAAATAAACCCTGATAGATGAACGGACAAAACACTAACTTACAGAAAACAAGCAAGTTTGTTTGCTAATGAAAATGCTAACATCTAAGTTACAGTATCTGACGTACTAGTAAGCCGGTAACAGACAGCGAGCATAATAAAAAAACAAAAACAAACAGACAATAGCAAACATCCCGACTCCCGAGGTCACAATTACAAGAAATACAAACATTAAACACAGTTTATTATAAAGATACTTACAAGTGCAACAGCAAGAAGTCCAGGTCAGCATCGGTTTTGCAGGCTTCGCTTTCTTTCAGTTCTCTCTATTCTGAAAAAGCCGGTCCGCTTTCTCTTTCTTTGTTCCTCTGATAAACACTTCCGAGCTTTCTTCTTCTTCTTTTACATCAGCCATCACGAAAACTTGAACTCAATATCTAGCGTTACCTTTTTCTTATAGCTAGCCGGCTCCTGGATGGATGGGGACGTGTACGCATGCGTGTGCGCGTATAGTGCCGTAAAGCAATTCGTTACCTCGCGAGACCTGAAATCTCACGATACTTCCTAACACTGAGGCCGGCGAGCCGCCGGCCCAAAGTTGCAAGGGTGGTTTTGCGGCTCACAGGCACCAGGGGGGTGCGAGACGATCACCATTCAACACGAAATCAGTAATATAAACATTACAATGACTCCAAAGCTGTTCAATTAAGGTAAAAAAAGTTACTTAGTTCTGCTTTAACTTAAAGATTTTACTCTTAAACACAAAAGTCACGTTTACTTTAATAAAACATTAGGTTTAGGCATTGGGTTGGGCTAATCCAAAAAATGTGAAAACAGGGGGTGTTCTGAAGACAGACTGTTACCTGTGAAACAGGGGTGCTCTGAAAACAGCAATTAGTGCTTTCCACCTGATGAAATTAAAGGTAGGGTATAGGATTTGAAAAACGGCTGGCAGATTTTGAAAATGCACAACTCAAAAGGTCCTACCCTCTTTCCTCCAACGCTGGTCCTGACTCCACCCATTCGATGAACATGGATGCGCAATCATGCATCGGCAAAACTCAGATGCACGGGATATCATTTACTCTCTCTCGCTCTCTGTCCCGGGGTGATTTGCTCTTACTGTGACTGGGTCACAAGCTTTGAGTATGCGCACGAAGGGGACACGTGCGCGAGGGGGAGGGGTGTATGGTACGGCCGTTTGATTTGACCCACTTACTGTCCAATGATTCTAGGTGGTCTTGGAAATGATTGGCTGGAGTTTTTTGAGTCCTGCCCATTCCACAGAAAATCACATACCCCACCTTTAACATGGCAAAAAAAAAAAAAAACTCGACCAATAAGTCGACTGGGAGATTACTGCCCTAGATACAACATTGTCAAGAGCAGTGAGTGATTTTTCTCTTTGCCTATTGCAGTTTAATAGCATTCACACAGCATCACAACAGCACAGGTTTATGAGGTTGCTGTCACTTTAAGACCCAGTGCAGAGGTCTGATATACTGACACACATCTGGTGTTTACTCTTTTGTTTGTTCCCTTAAGTCATTAAGTCACAATTGTGTGTGTATTTGACTATTCAAGTGCAAAAAGCTACGAAAGAACACCGAATTCAGCATTGCATGCTGTCTGAGAGAGGCTCACTTCAGGTGTGTCAGTCAGCATGAACACCGCATCTTTTTAACATCATGCTCTTTATTTTTTCAGTCATGAATATTTCTTTATCATTGTAAATAAGTAAATTTTTGTATTGTTAATAATCACGCTCCACAGATATGTCTGTGATTGGTGCTAAATTGGTAATAATCACGCTCCACAGATGTGTAAAAGTGTACTAAGCTCCTCACCAATGGTGGTTAATGGGGTTAAATATACCCCATTATCCACCATTGGTGACAAGCTTAATACACTTTTCTATTTCCCATTGAAATAGGAAGTTTGGTTGGGACTTTGTTAGACTTCAAGACCCACCAGTGAACTATGATTTGCAGCATGCTGTTGCTAGCTAGAGACAGGTGGTGTTAGAGGGAGGAGACTTCTAGAGAGCCTTTTATTGAATGACTATTTGGAATTTCCTTTCAGTGCAAGAAGGGTTGTCAGTGTTTTTTAACCTTGTTCTCCAAAGAACAAGACTGTTTTAAATGTTCATAGCTTCTGAAAGTTTGTTTTCTTTAAGAGGTCTTAATGGAAAAACATTGAAAATTTGCATGTATGAAATTGTATGGAATGGACAACAGTAATCAATACATTTAATCGGTCTGATTGACTTTTCCTAGGTTACACATCCCTGCAAAATGCCCACTTTTTCTCTGGTGTCATAATTCTAACTAATATGTTTCTTGGTTAGGTGAAATTACAGCAGATGAACTGTTGAGCCGCCTTCGACAGGTCAAGGATGGCCCTGAGTCTCCCAGCAATGGCACTACTGAGGAAAGAAGGGAGGGGCCTGGTGGTAAGTCAACTAAATTGCCCTGTTAGTATATAAAATCCATACCCATCCAGGTGACTTTACTGGTGATTCTGCCCTGTTTTAATAATTTCTCGTTTTTCTCAGCAACAGAGGTGGAGGGCACTGAAGAAAATCCCAGCGGTGAGACCCTTCTTGACTGGCTCAACACAGTACGACAGACGGGGAATACAACAAGGAGCGGTTACCGGGGTAACCAGTCATGGAGGGCTGTGAGCCAAACCAATCCCAACAGTGGTGATTTCCGTTTCAGCTTGGAGATCAATGTCAATCGCAATATAGCTGAACAGCAAACGCAGACAGAAAGGCTGGAAGGGGGCCAGGAAAGAGCAGATGGCCCCGTGTCTGAGCCGGAAAGTCTTATGGAGACTGCAGAGGTGGTTGAGGAACCAGTGGTAGACGAGCTGGCTGTTATAGTAGAGCCAGAGCTGGAAGTTCCCAACACCCTGTCTCTAAATGGGGAAGTTAATGCTCCAGATCCACCAACCATAGTTCCCCCAACCATAGTTACCCAAACCATAGCTCCCCCAACCATAGCTCCCCCAGCCTTGGTTCCCCCAGCCTTGGTTCCCCCAGCCTTGGTTCCCCCAACCGTGGTTCCCCCAGCCTTGGTTCCCCCAGCCTTGGTTCCCCCAACCGTGAGTCCCCCAACCGTGAGTCCCCCAACCGTGAGTCCCCCAACCGTGAGTCCCCCAACCGTGAGTCCCCCAACCGTGAGTCCCCCAACCGTGAGTCCCCCAACCGTGAGTCCCCAACCGTGAGTCCCCAACCGTGGCTCCTCAAACCGTGGCTCCCCCAACCGTGGCTCCCCAACTTTAGCTCCCCCAACCGTGGGTCCCCCAACTTTAGCTCCCCAAATCGTGGGTCCCCCAACTTTAGCTCCCCCAACCGTGGCTCCTCCAACTTTAGCTCCCCAACTTTAGCTCCTCCAACCGTGGCTCCTCCAACTTTAGCTCCCCCAACTTTAGCTCCCCCAACTTTAGCTCCTCCAACGGTGGCTCCCCCAACTTTAGCTCCCCCAAATTTAGCTCCTCCCACATTGGCTCCTCCCACCTTGTCTCCCCCAACCTTGCCTACAGTGGAGCAACCACGTAGGGGTCAAATAAGGGCTCGCAGTAGAAGCCCAGAGCAGCGACGGACAAGGGCTCGTACTGCAAGAGGACGTTCACCACTCAACCTTGAAAGATTGGATGGACTTCCGCCTACTCAGCATGGTATACCTTCTCGCCATCCAGACATCCTGCCTGAGCCCCAGGTAGAGGGAAGCTCAAGGACTCGGCAATTGTTTTTGTCTAGGCAGAGCACCGTGGATATGGATACTCAAGAGTTGGGAGCAGCACCTGAGTTACCTGGAACACCACAGGAAAGAGAGACAAATGCTGGGGAAGCAGGAGCTTCAGGTCGTCGTCCTCCAACCATAATGCTGGATTTGCAGGTACGTAGGGTGCGTCCCGGAGAGTACCGCCAGAGAGACAGCATTGCTAACCGTACAAGGTCTCGTTCTCAGACCTCCAATAACACTTTATTATACGAGACTGAGCGCGGGGGTTTCCGTCGGACTTTCTCCCGCTCTGAGCGGGCTGGAGTGAGAACATACGTCAGCACTATCCGGATTCCCATTCGGAGGATCTCAGATGCTGGACTTGGTGAAGCCACTTCTTTGGCTCTGCAGTCTATGATTCGTCAAATCATGACTGGCTTCGGTGAACTTAGCTACTTTATGGACTCGGACTATCCAGACTCGAACCGTGAAGACAGCCCACCAGCAGACCTTACCGATGCACTGGGAAACCCCGATGCTTCTCCTGAAACTGCTGCAAGTGAAGCGGATTCCCATCTTCCTGGGAATGGAGTCTCGAACCAGGGTGGTTTAGAGGCACGGACAGAGGAAAGGGAAGCGGAAGGTGGACTTCCCGGTGCTGCTGGTCCTCGGGAGAACCGAGGCAGACAACGGGCTCCCATCAGCCTGGATGAAACTGGATCTCTGCCCTTTCTGCGGCTTGCACACTTCTTCTTGCTCAACGAGGAAGATGATGACCAGCCCAGAGGTCTCACCAAAGAGCAGATTGACAACCTATCCATGCGAAACTTTGGTGAAAGCGATGCACTCAAAACCTGCAGTGTCTGCATTACGGAGTATGCTGAAGGCAACAAATTGCGAAAGCTGCCCTGCTCTCACGAGTACCATGTGCACTGTATCGACCGCTGGCTTTCAGAGAACTCAACCTGCCCTATTTGCCGCAGAGCGGTTCTTGTTTCCACTAACCGCGAGAGTGTTGTCTAGCCCGAATTGGTTTTGTGGCACTCTCGACAGGTTTAATGTCTCTTTTCCTCTCTTCCTTTTACATTTATTACTTAGTCATATGAGGACTCTTACTGAGATTTTTCCATACATCCTATATGAAGTCATTAAGTTTTATCAGATTTGCTGGTGCCAAGATTTTTCCCCACGAACTATACATCAATGTATTTTGACCCATCTTACAATAAATATTGGTGCAAGACACAACCGAGCAAGACCGTGCTGCAATCCCTTATCTTTTACTTCAATTGAAGAGCAACATTTGACAAAATCATTGGAGGAGGGGCAATGTAGTGAGGTGTACTAGAAGGAGAGATTTGAGTTGTACTTTTAAGCAAGTATTATCAGATCATTACAAAGATTGTGTTTTAATAAATGTTAATGATTTGATAATATTGTAGAGCAAGGATCAAGAATAGTGCAATCTGCTCAGCATTCACAAATACATTTCAATTGGGAAAAAAAATGCATTGAAACTGTCACACTGTGCTGCATCTGATCTTATTTTGGTTTCACAGTGTCGGTATGAAAGCATAGTATGTGTTGTCCCAATTGCAGCAGTATCATAAATGATTAAATAGTAGGAAATTCGTGGAATAGTCCTTAATGAATTTGTCATCCTTTATAGAATAGGTTTTGATTTGGTGTTTGAAAGTGTTCTGCAATACTGGTTTTGAAAACCATATGGTCAGACACTTTTTTTTATTTTTATTAAACAAACAAAAAAGGCTGTAAATATGCTGTGTTGCCGCATCAGGTTGTATTTCCGCCTGTCTTCCCAATTGACGATAATGCATCAGTTAGCTGACTCAAACATGTTTCAAATATCTTAAGAAATAAACTTGGCTGCATATAGGTGATGTTGTGCAATGCTAATAAGGAAAATGTAAAGGAAGTTTTGACAAATTGACTTGTATGTTGTAGTCTGTAAATATTAACATTTAAAATGAAGACTTAAATGGAAGTTTTTCTAACAGTTCTGTACATTGAGAATAGCACCATTTATCTTACTCTGAGGAGGAAATTATTTTTCTCATTATGTAATGGTTGGTTTATATGGGAGCTGAGGTTCTTTATTCCCGCGCGAGTAAAAAATGCAGTGTTATTTAGAAACAATAGATGTTGTTTCCTTTGTTTCTGTTTTGACTTGGAAGAAGAACCCCAAGCAAAATGTTCTCAACCATGAGTGACATCAACATTTCATGTATCGTAAGCAAGCCAACCATGCATTCAGTTCCGAGGTCATGTATTATAAGAGCGAGTTACTCAATAGAATTTCTTAATTTTCTCAGCATATTTATAGGTTATATTTTGAGTCAATATTTTGACTAGCTTCCAGTTTGCTGTGTTTGAAATGAATAAAATGATTTCCTCACCTGACCATTTCTCTGTGGCCTCACCAGTGTCCCATCATGTCGAAGAAACGTAAAGTGAATCATGCAGCCCTGCTATCGAGGAATCGAATTTAGCAATACTTTCCCTGGAAAATCTCAAAAACGTGATGCTGTGAGAATAAAATAAATATATGCACGCACACGTATATGTTCTGGTTTGTATTTTAATGAATAATTAAAATATTCCAGAAATGTTCAATATTATTTTGGGTTACATTTGGATTATTTAGGTGACATTTGCTTGTAACCACACCAGTGCTTACTGCACAGATGTTGCACACTTTCTGCTATACAACATAATGATCGGTTTGTTCTGGCTTCATCAAGCCATAATGTTATTTGTATATTACAATAAAAAGTGTACAGCAACAAGACTGGTTTGTTGTTTAAAAAGGAGTGTTTTTTTAACTGTTAATTATTTATGGAATGACTGCATTATTTGAGCTTTTCTAACACACAACAAAACATCACAATATCAAAAACACAATTCAATCTGAGATGCGGTGTCTTTCCAGTATAGTCATGTCATCTGATAAAACTGCTCCAAATTATAGTAGCCTAATGAAGTAACTGTTGCATTACTTGTAATGCATAATTTTATGGAAACTGATGAACGCTACCATGTTTAGATCATGAAATGTTCAATGAAATACTGTTTCAGATTTGACGTTGCTCGATGTATGCCAAACCCACAAAGACAGTCTCGATGGAAGTAGCGGTACAGTTCTCAATTTTTTTTCAGTAAACCAGATGATGAACACTGCTATTGAAGATTATGGTGTTTTTCTATATTGCAATTATATTTGCTTTGATTCAAAGAAACTATCCAATGCATTGTGTCTAGATCATGTAAATTAAAGGAGTAGTTCACATTTTAAAAAAACTTGCTGATTTACTCACCTCCATGTCATCCAAAATGTCCATGTCTTTCTTCAGTTGAAAAGACCCTTATTCATCGTCTGGTGTCGTTTAAAGACATATGAAGCTGCACTGAAACTCTCATTTCGACCTTGAACCGTTTGGTTCCCAATGAATTCCTTTATATGGAGAAATCCTGGAATATTTTCATCAAAAAGAAAGAAAGACATGGACATCTTGGATGACATGGGGGTGAGTAAATTATCAGCAACAGTTTGTGAACTACTTTAAAGTTCCTGTGGTGTTTTATGATAAATAAATTTCATAATTAAAAATAAAGTTTTGGGACTAGAGTTTTCAGAAATACAAATCTGAAATTAGTGTCATTATTTGTAGGTGTGAAAGAGTGCTATTTTACATCTTGGACATGGCAAACGTGTCTGTTCCTCGTTTGTAGGCACAAGAGAAGAGATTGGCCATCCCTGAGCAGCGCTGAGAAAAGTAATAGGTACCATGCGGGACAACGTGCTACTTTAGTTGCGGGATAACGTACTTTAACTTTAACAGATTTTGAATTGAAAATACATCGTTCAAATATATGTAACTATTATTTAGACATCTCCTGGGCCACATTGTTTACTTTATTAAGATGGCTACGCTACACTATGTTGCATCCGATGGCGTGTGTAATAGAGTGATTACGGCAGGGTGTCTAACGCTTCTCGTTCTCCAAGTGGACTTGCTTTTCTGAGTTTGTTATTCCGGACAGGTTAGGACAGGTGATATCGTCAGTCTCATTGACTTTCCATTGTTAAAGATGGCTCTACGCGTTTGCAGTTCTTTTCTGCGTTCTTACGCGACACGCGGCAAGGTAACACAATCTCTTTTAGTTTGAAAATTACTTCCTAGTTTCTTTTAGAAAGCTGGAATGTAAAGTAGAGCATGTAAACAATTTAATTAAATGACATGAGACTAAGCTATTACTTACTTACTTACTGATTAATAATGTCTTATTACAGTACAAAAAAATGTGAGTTTCCTGGAAGTGAATTTGAATGAAGGTTTGGTGCATAAATATTCATGTGTGACGTCTCAAAGTGATGGTTCTACTGATTGGCTCAAAGTGCCATTAGACACTTCTGGATTGTATGTGAGATAAATAAATGCGAGTAACCTTCACGGTTACTATAAGAAGACGTTTGTGTTTTATTTATATTCATAAGTTAAACCTTGGTTTAATTTCACTTCCGGGAAAATTTTATTTGGGCAATGGTAGCAAACGGTATCTGCCCTTGATATAAAATTATTGTTTGTTTTTCATCTCCACGGAATCAGACTCAAATTATTTAAGACAAGTTGAAAATCGGATTGTTTATCAAATCGCAAATTTTATTGTGAATCATCTCGAATCTTTCACCTGAATTTGTCATGCTCATTTAACGTTATGTTTAACTCCTGAGCCCAAATATTACTTTTTTTTGGCCTTATGATATTGGTATGCTCTCTGTCCTGCTTTGTAAATGAGAGGTGAAAAAAAAGTAATTTAAAACAATTCACATTTCCACTTTCGATTTCAAATTCAATTGTAAACTTCGTTCATCAAAACATCTTGATAAAAAAATGTAAAAAATACTTCCACATATTCTTTCCACAATTTCAATAAGCAGCACCAGCGTGTTCAGATAAATGTTTATTGAGCATAAGTTCTGGACCATGTGACACTGAGTAACAGGAGGTAAAACATTTTAAAATATATTCAAATAAAACAGTCCTTTGAAATGAATATAAAGTTTTTAAAGTTCCACGGGAACTTTAAAGTAGTTAACTTAAAAAAAAAATTAAAAAAAACTTTTGCTAATAATATACTCACCACCCCCCCACCCCCCATGTCATCCAAGATGTCCATGTTTTTTTTTTCTTCAATCGAAAATAAATTAAGGTTTTTGATGAAATCATTCCAGGATATTCTCCATATAATGGACTTCAATGGGAACCAAATGGTTCAAGGTCCAAATGAGAGTTTCAGTGCAGCTTCAAAGGGCTTTAAACGATTCCAGACGATGAATAAGGGTCTTATCTAGCGAAACGATCGCTCATTTCCAAAATAAATATAAAGGTTTGTTTCATAAGCACAAATGCTCGCCTTGCTCTGTTCTGTGATGCGCGTTTGTGACTCTCCTGTTCGAACTCTGTTCGAAAATGAACAAATCTTTTTTTGAGTCATAGACTCGGAGGGTCCTAGAAAAGACCCTTATTCATCATCTGGAATCGTTTAAAACCCTTTGAACAGTTTGCATTGAAACTGTCTTTTGGACCTTGAACCGTTTGGTTCCCATTGAAGTCCATTATATGGAGAAAATCCTGGAATGTTTTCATCAAAAACCTTAATTTCTTTTCGACTGAAGAAAGAAAGACATGGACATCTTGGTTGACATGGGGGTGAGTAAATTATCAGCAAAATGTTTTTAAAGTGAACTAATCCTTTAAAAGTGTTACTTACTGATATAGAATACAGTACAACAAATAACAACCCCAATGTTGTTCTTATATCTTGTTTTTTTTTCATAAAGAAAAGTTATACTACTTTTAGGACCATTAAGATTCTTTTTTTTGTTTTTATTTATTTTTTTTTTATTGACGTTGCAAGACATAAAATACACATTTGGTCATATTATACAACATATTTGTCCTTGTCCTACATCATAATTTTTTCCAAAACGAAACAGAAAATCAATAATAAAAAAAGTTAAAAAAAAAAAAAATAAATAAAAAAACATGGTAGCAAGAACAAAAACAGGGCAGTGCCTCAGGTATTATGAATCAGACGAAGTCTGATCTTATTGTTTGAATAAATTTCAAGAATCCATTCCACAACCTCTTGAATTTATCCATTTCAAGTCTACAAGTGGAGGTCAATTTCTCCATAACATATATATCATGCATCACATCAACCCAATTTTCCTTTCTTGGCGCTTCCACCTTTAGCCATTTCCTAGTAATTCCCTTTTTTCCTGCTAGTAACATGATTTTAAACATTTTCCAATTCAGATTCTTTTTACCTTGCATATTAAGTCTTCCCAAATAAAGTGTAGGACCATTAAGATTCTTGTTTCAGTAATGCTGAATAAATCAAAAATACCCAAAATTGCAAACTATTCATTTTTGTGATATTCTGCCATATACATTTATCCCAAACTATAATTTCAATATGTTTTTTTTTTTTTTTTTTTTTTGCCTTCACATCCAGCCGTTTCTCAGTGGACTGTCATCAGTCCGGTTCAGAAGTTCCTGTCCTGTTGACATCAGTCATCTGGACCACCTGGTGCTCACTGTTCGGGACCTGAACAAAACCACTCATTTTTACTCCAAGGTTTTGGGAATGGAGGTCGTCACTTTTAAGGTAAAACGTCACACAAAAACCTCACAATACCACATGGTGGCAGCAAAGTATAAGGATTCTCACCTATCAATGCCTACGTTTCAGGGTGACCGTAAAGCTTTGAGCTTTGGAGAGCAGAAAATCAACCTGCATCAGGCTGGGAAGGAGTTTGAGCCGAAAGCCAAAAGCCCAACACCAGGATCTGCTGACTTGTGCCTTATCACCAAGACCCCGCTGACAAATGTTGCTGCCCACCTCAAGGTATTAATTGCAATTCATTTGACTAATAAAATCAATAGTCCAACACTAGTTTTGCTAAATAAATGAATAAAATAATGACTATTAATTTGGACTTTTTATTCATCTGGACGTCATTTGGACGTCTGAGAATGCTTCATAAATAAGCAATACCACATAGTAGTGTTGTTTTTAATACAAATTATAGGCATGTTCGAATTCAGTACAACAACATGATTGTGATATTGCTTTTATACAGCAGGACTATAAACAAGAAGTTACTACTGAGTAACTTAAATTTTAGATACAATATTTCTCTAACATTATTCAATTGAATAATATCATTCTACTTTTACAGACAACACATATTTCCAGACGAAGCCAAAGCAAAATCTGAAGGAACTTTTCATGTTTTAGAACTCAGTCAGATTCGAGGGCCAAAACAAACTGTTCAATAAAGTGAACCTCAATGATTAAATAAAATATTTAAATATTTTTACATTTGAAATATTAATAATGTCAATCAACTGTTTCTAAAACCCTTCACCCTTCCTTTTGTTTTATTATTATGCAATAATAAAAAAACAAGACAATAATAAACAATACAGAGGGTTACATTACATAATCATAAAGAATATTAAACTAGATAAAATGATTGAAAACATTTCAGAGTCTTACATGCAGCAGTGTTTTTACAGTTCCTCAAAGAATTTAGATCTCAAAAAAGTGAAAATTTACACTTGTGAAAATAAAATTTGGCAAGAAAAGTAGCAAGTTAAGAACCAATTTAAAATGTTATGGGTCTAATTATACAGAAGTTTAAAGCTATATACCTTTTAACAAAAATTTTCCCAAAACAAATGAATAAGTGTCTCCTCAAACTCATGACAAAAGGAGCACAAGGGGAAATAAAATTATTACAAATTTATAATTAACTGTGTAGCGATTGTGACTCGTTTGACTTTATTAGATAACACGAATTTATGGTGAAGAAGCCAGACATTCTCTCATACTATATCATCAAATATTATTACAAAAGCTTACACAAGCAGGCAAAGAAATCTGAAAGGTGCTGGGAAGACATTGATCAACTAATAGATTAGTGCGGTCAAAAATAGCTGGAGAGCATAAAGGACCTTTATCTAAATGTATCTAAAGGTTTCACACAATCAGGAATTTCACCAATTTTTTTTTTTTCTGATCTTTACATATGATTATACCCAAGTATTTAACTTCCGATTTGACTGGAATGTCACAGACTTTAACATCAGTGGAACGTTTAATAGATAAAAGTTCACATATTAAGAACTAAGAAGCAGATGAAAAGAGATCAATTAAATTTAAGGCTACAGAAACTCAATCTGGTAACACTTGACTTGAAGGAGTGTGCATGAGACCTTCATAACCATGGCATGACATATGTCTTGAATATGAAGTAGGGTTTATGCATGTTTATGACAACTGTCATTAAGTGTCTTTCGCAAAATTATGACATTTTGAATGCAAATATGACATTGTTTGAGATGTCTTTGTTATGGCATACATACCTCTGTCGTCTCGACCTAGGACGGTGACAACAAATAAAACGTTGCGCTTTTCTAAGCGTGTAAAATTGCTAACTGTATTGTATGGCGGAATACCAAAGCAAGTGATTGGGAGCACTTCGACTCGGCGCAATAATATCATCACTCCGGAGGGGGAGAGGACTTTTCTCGAGTGATGATATTAATGCGCAGAGTCGAAGTGCTCCCAATCACTTGCTGTGGTATTCCGCCATACAATATAGTTATACACTTCACACGCTTAGAAAAGTGCAATGTTTTATTTTGTGTCACCATCCTAAGTCGAGTTGCACTGCTCGAGTAACTGTATTTAAATAGGGGAAACGTGGAGGTGTTTGGTCGCTTCTCTGCTTGAATAGTCTCTGTTATTTTACTTTTAAACTTGTGCTTTAATGTTAAGACTCCTGCTGAAAGATTAGAACCATATGAAGAAAACAACTCATCACCCCATTGTGATTTCCCAAACTTCAAATTGCTGTTTGCACGAGACTCTTATAAAACTAAAATCAGAGGTAAGAGATTTGGCATACAGAACAATAGCTTTACTTTTAATGTCGTTATGCAACACTTGTGCGTTAATTGAGCAAACAGAAAGTTCAGGAAACATTAGAACAATATGACACAAGAACTGTTACAAGTGAGTCAATCCATGGCATCCTGTAAAAAAAAAACCGCAGATGAACCTCAAAGTGACTTTGTTAATCTTTCAGTAAGCATTTTGAAGACTGAGAACTGTTACTTAAGACAGAAACATGACAATAAAGGCAGAACAGTAATTACCAAACCAAAGTTATGCTACTATAGTCACTAAGATTTCTTTAATATTTTCGAAAAAAGTTTTGATGTTGTTTTTTGTTGGGTTTTTTTTATGTTAAAGTTTTATATATATTGTTATATATATAGATTAGGCAATACAAAAACGCAACAATATGCATCGTTTGAGGGAAAAAAAATAGTGTTAGTACTAGGGTTGGGTATCGTTTGAATTTGAACGATTCTGATTCCGATTCTGATTCCTTGTTTCGATTCCGGTTCCTAACGATTCTCGATTTCGATTCTTTTAAGAGGCAGGGTCAAAAAAGTTTAGCTAACCTTGCTAACCAACGGTCTTTCTGAAGGAAATACTTTTTGTCACAAATTTTGCATTTTGCCGAGATTTCGTTAATTTTTAGAAAAGTGAAGCCACACTTTGGACCGCCGACGTAAGCTACTCATGTTCGACTCGCGCGGTTATGCCAACACTTCCGGTAGACGCTTCTTCGTTGGTGTTGTTCAGCGGTTTCTTTCTCTACCGCTCGGCGGACTGTGAATATCGAAACTAGGAATTGAAATTTTAACTTTTGAACGATTCCGGGAAAAACGAAAAGTTAGTCCCGGTTCCAATCGATACTCGATTCTCGATACCCAACCCTAGTTAGTACTACAATATAATCTTGTTGATTATATTGTATAATAATGCAATGGGGAAACATTTGTGGTTCTTGATAATGCCAAATGTCTGAAAGTGGCTAACATTTATTTTAAATAGGCTATATCTAGTCAGTGACGGAGTACAAGCATATTCGTCTAAAATAATTTTGTATTTTCAGCCTCAGAATCATGAATATTTTTATTCTGGTGTCACCATTGTCCTTGGGTTATAAGCACCAAGTCCAAGCCTATTCATTTAAACCCACAATGTAATGTCAAATTTAGCATTTTAATCAACAGTACATTTTTGTTAACGTCTTGGAGTATCGCAATAATATCGTATCGTGAGTTCAGTATCGTGATATGTATCGAATCATGACATGAGGATATCGTTGCCCCTAATATATATAATATATATATATATATATATATATATATATACATATATATTGGCACCCATGCTAAAGTTGCCTAAAAAGAGAAATAAAAAATCATCTTTTGGATATTGATCTTAATGCCTTAATTAGAAAAATGAGGAAAAGTCCAACCTTTAAGGACACCAATTTTCTTTGTGAATGAATAATGTATCATAAATAAATAAATGTTTTTCCTTAAAATACAGGGTGCATAAGTCATTGCCCCCCTATGTTAAATTCCCATAGAGTCAGGCAGATTTTTATTTTTAAAAGCCAGTTATTTCATGGATCCAGGATAATATGCATCCTGATAAAGTTCCCTTGGCCTTTGGAATTAAAATATCCCCACATCATCACACACCATCCTCCACACCTAGAGATTGGCATGGTTTTACTTCAGTTAGCCTAATAGCTGGTTTGATTTGCATTGAAAGATGATCTTATGGAAAGTACCCCATGCCAATCTCTAGGTGTGGGGGAAGGTGTGTGATGATGTGGGGATATTTTAATTGACTTTTTTTAATTGATTTTAATATTTTAATTGCCTTGACTTATGCACACTGTCTTTTAAGGAAAAACATTTATTTATTTATGATACATTATTCATTCACAAAGAAAATGTGTGTCCTTAAAGGTTGGACTTTTCCTCATTTTTCTAATTAAGGCATTAAGATCAATATCCAAAAGATGATTTTTTTATTCCTCTTTTTAGGCAACTTTAATGGAATGTATAATTGTAATTGAAAACATTTTTGTGGATTTTAACTTATTGACCCCATACTTTTAAATGGCAGTGTACTTCTATCCGACAGTTTTGCTATTGCTCATACTTGGGTTTAGTGATTTGAACAAAACCCTAAGTGTTTTTTTTTTTTTCTGCCTTTCTGTCTGTACAAGAGCACCTTCTATCATTTTGACGTTTTAAAACTCAACTTTTTCATGGCACCGTCTGGGGAGACCTCTCAGAAAGGCTAACATCACCCAGAGTTCAGCAGTATCAATGGTGAAATCTTGTGACCTTGGCCCAGTTTGTTTATTTGGATATGTGATGACTGGACCTTCTCTCCCGGCCACTCTGGGTTTTCCAGAAGGCCTTTAGATGGTTGCACTCTGATGGGGCTCTTTGCGGTTGTCAGCTCTAATGCTGCAAGCAGTCCAGGAGAGATAGAACAGCCTGCATTTATGCAGCCCACATGATGATTATTATTTATTTATTTTTTTTGCTGTGTATAACCCAAACATACCTGCGGGTGATGTTGAAGGTCTTCACATGCAAGCAAAGTGTGGTGAGTTCAAGTGTAGATGCTGCACAACTTAATTATTTTGAATTAAGACCTGAAGATGGATAGTCACAGGACTGACTTCTGAGGCTGTGTTATCTTGATAATATAGTCAACATAATGCACAGCAAAGTTTTAAATGCTTTTAGATTTTTTTATATTATGTAATTGGCAAGTAAAAGTTTGTAGGTGCATTCTGCACCTTAAGTATTGCCTGCAGAATGAATTTAAAAAAATAGTCCTGTCAACAAAATTGGTTGGAAAAGAATTGCATCATATAAAAATTAATGGATAAGAATAGTTTGGCCGAAATATAAATTGTCTTTCGAAACGTGGTTTATTTTTGTAGAACAAAATGAGTCGGTGTCCAAGCTGCTGTTTTCCATACATTGAAGTGAATGGTTTTTGTTTTGTTTTCGTTTTTTAGTCAAACTTATCGTTGTATTCAGAAGATTTAGATTTAAATTTATTTTTGGAGCTTGACAGCCCCTTTCCCCATCTACTTTTACTGTCCGAAAGCAGCTCACTTGTTTTGCTAAACTGTTTTTTTTTTTGTCTTTGCCAAGAAAGAATGTCATACAGATTTGTGACGACATATGGGGAATATGGCAAAATTTTAATTTGTTGGGTGAACTGTCCCTTTAAGATCCATCCTTCCGCAGCAAGATATAGTCCCTGGTTGACAGTCGGGTCTCTGTGGATGCTGCGCAGTGATATAGTAACTAGGTAAACAGGTGTTTCGCGTTTCTACACTGAAAAATGTCTTGTCAGGTAACCTAAAATGTGATTCATGTGGTAACTGTGTTTTTTAAAAATTTATTTAAGCTAAAAATATGAAATATCACGAGTTAGAAATAATCAAGTTAGTTAGAACAAAGTGCGGTGGATATTAAGCTAAAATATCCACACCGTTTCGCTTTTAACTGTTTATCGAACTCATATATTGTATATTTAGGCCTACCAATCTGCATCCAGAACCGAAAGTATCCGTTTTTTTATCCGTCATCCTGTCAGATCAGGACGTAAAAACTAAATTACGTTTCTCCTTTAAAAAATAACTCAAAAACCCTGACAGAGACAAGCACTCACAAATAGACAGGGGTAGTCAGTTAATAATTGTCCACCTCACAATGTTTGTGCGCGAGCAAAGTCTGCGCGTCAGGGGGAAAAAAAAGAAAAGTTCCTCCACGAGTGCGACAGTGACGCGCACCGAGAGTTGCGGAGCGTGTGAGTCCTGAAGGGCAAATATAGCAACATCATCAAATTCAAATCATTCAGTGTGTTCACATCACAGTTTAGTATTGTTACGGTACGCTTGGAACCTCAACAGAGGTCATACCATTTAAAGCGAGGCGAGGCGAAGCGAGCCGAACCGTACCATGCAGTGGAAATGTGCCAAAGAGTACCTAACCGAACCGTGCCGTACCCTACTATACAGTGGAAAAGTGCCACAAGTGAGCTGTACCGAACCGTGCCGTACCATACCTTGCAGTGGAAAAGTGAAAAACTAAAAATAGAATTGTTATTTCTCTTCTCATTCTTCATGTGTGATAATCCTTTTTTTATGATTGACATGATTGGCACACTGACATGATTTCCTTTTGTCACTTGATGCGTCACTCATCAGTATTGTTTCCTCAAACCTCTTATGTAATATAGAAATCTTGACTAGACACTTTTTCCTTGTTCCATTACATAAACAGTTTCGACGGAAACGTTTTAGTTTTTTGCTTTTATGTTTGTCTTCATCCTCATACCATAGATGACAGGTATTTTGCCATCACAAAGGAGGTGGGTTTGACGACAGCTTCCTTTGACTTCAAAATCCATCAAATAAAGATTTGAACCAGGTGTCCGGAGCGCCATATCTATCCTGCAAAGTTTATCTTAACTTAAGATAAGATTAACTTTAAATCGAGGCACAGAGACGGGCATTCTCTGTACTTATCTTTTGACCTTACTATTACAATAAGATGTTTCTGCAGGAATTTTCTGATTTTTTTATCCTCGAGGGTACTGTATTTTTGACAAACTATTAATTTTAGGCGATTTTAACGTACATGTTTGTTGTCCCTCTCATCGTTTGGTTAAGGAATTTCTTCAAATCATTGACTCATTAAATCTCACTCATAAACAAGGCCATACTCTCGATTTGGAAAAGTGCCACAAGTGAGCCGTACCGTGCCAAGCCGTACTGTACCATGCAGTGGAAAAGTGAAAAAGTGTGCCGAACCGAATCGTGCCATACCGTACCATGCAGTGGAGAAGCACCAAAGCGTGCCGAACCGAATCGTGCCATACCGTACCATGCAGTGGAAAAGTGCCAAAGCGTACCGATCCAAACCGTGCCATACCGTACCATGCAGTGGAAAAGTGCCAAAGCGTACCGATCCATACCGTACCATGCAGTGGAAAAGTGCCAAAGCATACCGATCCAAACCGTGCCATACCGTACCATGCAGTGGAAAAGTGCCAAAGCATACCGATCCAAACCGTGCCATACCGTACCATGCAGTGGAAAAGCGCCAAAGTGTGCTGAACCGAATCGGGCCATACCGTACCATGCAGTGGAAAAGTGCCAAAGCGTACCGATCCAAACCGTACCATGCAGTGGAAAAGCGCCAAAATGTGCCATACCGAACCGTGCCATAACGTACCATGTAGTGGAAAAGTGCCAAAGCGTACCGATCCATACCGTACCATGCAGTGGAAAAGTACCAAAGCATACCGATCCAAACCGTGCCATACCGTACCATGCAGTGGAAAAGCGCCAAAGTGTGCTGAACCGAATCGGGCCATACCGTACCATGCAGTGGAAAAGTGCCAAAGCGTACCGATCCAAATCGTGCCGTACCGTACCATGCAGTGGAAAAGCGCCAAAGTGTGCTGAACCGAATCGGGCCATACCGTACCATGCAGTGGAAAAGTGCCAAAGCGTACCGATCCAAACCGTGCCATACCGTACCATGCAGTGGAAAAGCGCCAAAACGTGCCATACCGAACCGTGCCATAACGTACCATGTAGTGGAAAAGCACCACAAGTAGAGGGACGACTGAACCAGAGCACGAGTCGAAGGCTATGTTTACACGGAAACGATTCTGAAGAGAAAATGCAAAAGTGGCGTTGCGTTATCACTGTTTATTCTGCGTTTAGACGAGTGTTTTGGGTGGGAAATCCTATTGCATATGGTGACGCAAAACTGTGTGAAATTCAATGTAGTAAGCACTCCAGGCGGCTAGGTGGCAATGTGGAGCACTGCCACACAACAACAGCGCACACGCCTGCATACAACCTTCACCGTCAAGCAGACTTTTGCGTTTTTACCCTTTACACAGGAACGCGGCGGAGTGTTTTTAAGATTTCCACACTGGAGGGTGGTTTCACTTTTTTGCGTTTTTAAGCCTCAAAAACGCCGTCGCCGTGTAAACGAAAGGCACATCCGATAAAATATTTTTACGTTTTCACCCGCGAGCGTTCTCGTGTAAACAGGGCCTTAGTCCACAACACTTGCACCAAGATCTAAAGATGAATCCGTCCGCCTCGATTTGCGTTTTTTTATGTTTTGTCATAGTTAAAAAAAAAGGTCGTTTCGAGCACGTAACTCTAATGTGTTAGGCCTAAGTATGTAAAATCTAAATAAAAGGATGGGCCTAATTCATGACAATGAACATCCCAAAAGTAGAATAAAAATTAAATAAGTAACAAAACAGATCCCTAAATGATCAAAAATGCTTTCGATTAGAAAATAGTGTTAAACGAGATGCACTTTAAATTGTGCCATTTGTGCCAACTTCCACCCTTCATCTTTGAGTCTTTCCTGCTGAAAAAACTACTCATACAGTATATATAAACTTGTTCGAATTGCATTCTTCTATAATGTTACATACTTTAATTCAAACGTTAATTCTGCTTTCTGTTTCCAACTCAATTTCAACTGAAATTTAAAAAGCTTCTAGATTCAGCTCTACATGTTGCTCATCCCTGGCTTTAGAGGACAGAACACTGAAGTATAACCCATTGTTTTTTTCATAGAATGATATATTCTCTGATTTTCCTGTGTTTCCAGGCGTGTGGAGTGACAATCGAGGAGGGCCCAGTTGACAGGACTGGCGCTGTGGGTCCCATCCGTTCCCTCTATTTTCGTGACCCTGACAACAACTTGATTGAAGTGTCCAATTACCAACAATAGACGTTGCGTTGTATCATTGCCTGGAGAAGAATATAAATCGCTCTGTAATTAAATAATAAACAACTCCCATCAAGGTTTGAAGGAAGGAAACTATTTGCTTTTGATTTTGGCTGAGCTAATATTTCCTTCTTTTTAAAACTTCCTTATGTCGTGGCCTCATTATCAAACCATTTTGGGGCAAGCACGTACTGAGACACTGTATATGATTTTCAATTATAATTATTATGTGGGGTAAATTCATTTGAAGCCATTAAGTTCTAAGATTCTGACTATATTCACTTATAATCTTCCTCTGTTCTTTGGATAATGTTAAAGAGAATTCATTTAAATTTAAATGATAATGATAGTACTTTTAATATTAATAATATTAATTTAAAATGGTAATATGTCATGATATTATTGGTCCATTGCTATCCCTTAGTGATGATGATGATGAGTTTTATTATTACTACCATAATAAAGGCAATAAAACAAATAACAACCATGATGTCCGTGTTATATGTCATAAAGAAAGGAGATTTAGGTATGAAGATAAAGGTTAGGAGCATTACTAAGTGTGTGATTGCAACATTTGTCATTTGCTTTTACGAGCTGATTGAGCGTTTGACGTCGGTCACACTTTGCAAATGAAAACTGACGTATGAAATGAGACCATTGGAAATTCTCTGTAAATGACACCTGAAGGAATTCTAGAGGAGATAAGAGTTTCATTCTTCCTCAGAAATACACACACACTAGTGGACGTAGCCACGCAATAAAAAGTAAGAAGGCTCATCACAGTTACAAGAACAATACTAGTTTCAATAATACAATGCTCCAGTCTGAACACGTGAAAACAACACCACAAATAAATGAATGTTGTCTTATGATGCTATTTATAACACTATAACATTTTATTTTACAGTGTCCTTGTTACACGTTACATGTACTGACTGTATTAATGATAGAAAAATATGCATAAGTGCACAAAACAGACTTTAATTATCCTGTAAAGCCCAAACTGAAAAATAGAATGGTTATTTCTCTTCTCATTCTACATGTGTGATAAAATCATTTTTTATGAGCACACTGACCTGATTTCCTTTTGTCACTTGTGTCACTGATCAGTATTGTTTCCTCAAACCTCTTATGTAATATAGAAATCTTGACTAGACACTTTTTCCTTGTTCCATTACATAAACAGTTTCAACGGAAACGTTTTAGTTTTTGCTTTTATGTTTGTCCTCATCCTCATACCATAGATGACAGGTATTGTGCCATCACAAAGGACGTGGGTTTGACGACAGCTTCCTTTGACTTCAAAATCCATCAAATAAAGATTTGAAGCAGGTGTCCCGAGCCGCTCTAGACCCTTCCAGAGCTGAGATATCGAAACTCAAAAATTCGACCCGAAAAAAAAAAAACGACAGTGGTTTTCGTTTTTTTTTTTTTGGGGCGAAAAATTAAGTTTCTCCAATCTTCTCAAAACTCTGGATTCTGATAGAGGGCCAGGAGACTTTAACCTGAGTGCAAAAATGGAGGCTCTAGACCCTTCCAGAGCTGAGATATCGAAACTCAAAAATTCGGCCCGAAAAAAAAAACGACAGTGGTACCCCTTTCGTTTTTTTTTTTTTTGGGGCGAAAAATTAAGTTTCTCCAATCTTCTCAAAACTCTGTATTCTGATAGAGGGCCATGAGACTTTAACCTGAGTGCAAAAATGGAGGCTCTAGACCCTTCCAGAGCTGAGATATCGAAACTCAAAAATTCGACCTGAAAAAAAAAAACGACAGTGGTACCCCTTTCGTTTTTTTTTTTTTTCGGGCGAAAAATTAAGTTTCTCCAATCTTCTCAAAACTCTGTATTCTGATAGAGGGCCATGAGACTTTAACCTGAGTGCAAAAATGGAGGCTCTAGACCCTTCCAGAGCTGAGATATCGAAACTCAAAAATTCGACCCGAAAAAAACGACAGTGGTCGTTTCGTTTTTTTCGGCCCTTTCGGTTTTTTTTTTGGGCGAAAAATTAAGTTTCTCCAATCTTCTCAAAACTCTGGATTCTGATAGAGGGCCATGAGACTTTAACCTGAGTGCAAAAATGGAGGCTCTAGACCCTTCCAGAGCTGAGATATCGAAACTCAAAAATTCGGCCCGAAAAAAAAAAACGACAGTGGTACCCCTTACGTTTTTTTTTTTTTTGGGCGAAAAATTAAGTTTCTCCAATCTTCTCAAAACTCTGGATTCTGATAGAGGGCCATGAGACTTAGACCTGAGTGCAAAAATGGAGGCTCTAGCCCCTTCCAGAGCTGAGATATCGAAACTCAAAAATTCGGCCCGAAAAAAAAACGACAGTGGTACCCCTTACGTTTTTTTTTTTGGGCGAAAAATTAAGTTTCTCCAATCTTCCCAAAACTCTGGATTCTGATAGAGGGCCATGAGACTTAGACCTGAGTGCAAAAATGGAGGCTCTAGCCCCTTCCAGAGCTGAGATATCGAAACTCAAAAATTCGGCCCGAAAAAAAAAACGACAGTGGTACCCCTTACGTTTTTTTTTTTGGGCGAAAAATTAAGTTTCTCCAATCTTCCAAAACTCTGGATTCTGATAGAGGGCCATGAGACTTAGACCTGAGTGCAAAAATGGAGGCTCTAGCCCCTTCCAGAGCTGAGATATCGAAACTCAAAAATTCGGCCCGAAAAAAAAAACGACAGTGGTACCCCTTACGTTTTTTTTTTTGGGCGAAAAATTAAGTTTCTCCAATCTTCCCAAAACTCTGGATTCTGATAGAGGGCCATGAGACTTAGACCTGAGTGCAAAAATGGAGGCTCTAGCCCCTTCCAGAGCTGAGATATCGAAACTCAAAAATTCGGCCCGAAAAAAAAACGACAGTGGTACCCCTTACGTTTTTTTTTTTTGGGCGAAAAATTAAGTTTCTCCAATCTTCCCAAAACTCTGGATTCTGATAGAGGGCCATGAGACTTAGACCTGAGTGCAAAAATGGAGGCTCTAGCCCCTTCCAGAGCTGAGATATCGAAACTCAAAAATTCGGCCCGAAAAAAAAACGACAGTGGTACCCCTTACGTTTTTTTTTTGGGCGAAAAATTAAGTTTCTCCAATCTTCCCAAAACTCTGGATTCTGATAGAGGGCCATGAGACTTAGACCTGAGTGCAAAAATGGAGGCTCTAGCCCCTTCCAGAGCTGAGATATCGAAACTCAAAAATTCGGCCCGAAAAAAAAAACGACAGTGGTACCCCTTACGTTTTTTTTTTTGGGCGAAAAATTAAGTTTCTCCAATCTTCCCAAAACTCTGGATTCTGATAGAGGGCCATGAGACTTAGACCTGAGTGCAAAAATGGAGGCTCTAGCCCCTTCCAGAGCTGAGATATCGAAACTCAAAAATTCGGCCCGAAAAAAAAAACGACAGTGGTACCCCTTACGTTTTTTTTTTTGGGCGAAAAATTAAGTTTCTCCAATCTTCCCAAAACTCTGGATTCTGATAGAGGGCCATGAGACTTAGACCTGAGTGCAAAAATGGAGGCTCTAGCCCCTTCCAGAGCTGAGATATCGAAACTCAAAAATTCGGCCCGAAAAAAAAACGACAGTGGTACCCCTTACGTTTTTTTTTTTGGGCGAAAAATTAAGTTTCTCCAATCTTCCCAAAACTCTGGATTCTGATAGAGGGCCATGAGACTTAGACCTGAGTGCAAAAATGGAGGCTCTAGCCCCTTCCAGAGCTGAGATATCGAAACTCAAAAATTCGGCCCGAAAAAAAAACGACAGTGGTACCCCTTACGTTTTTTTTTTTGGGCGAAAAATTAAGTTTCTCCAATCTTCCCAAAACTCTGGATTCTGATAGAGGGCCATGAGACTTAGACCTGAGTGCAAAAATGGAGGCTCTAGCCCCTTCCAGAGCTGAGATATCGAAACTCAAAAATTCGGCCCGAAAAAAAAACGACAGTGGTACCCCTTACGTTTTTTTTTTTGGGCGAAAAATTAAGTTTCTCCAATCTTCCCAAAACTCTGGATTCTGATAGAGGGCCATGAGACTTAGACCTGAGTGCAAAAATGGAGGCTCTAGCCCCTTCCAGAGCTGAGATATCGAAACTCAAAAATTCGGCCCGAAAAAAAAACGACAGTGGTACCCCTTACGTTTTTTTTTTTGGGCGAAAAATTAAGTTTCTCCAATCTTCCCAAAACTCTGGATTCTGATAGAGGGCCATGAGACTTAGACCTGAGTGCAAAAATGGAGGCTCTAGCCCCTTCCAGAGCTGAGATATCGAAACTCAAAAATTCGGCCCGAAAAAAAAAACGACAGTGGTACCCCTTACGTTTTTTTTTTTTGGGCGAAAAATTAAGTTTCTCCAATCTTCCCAAAACTCTGGATTCTGATAGAGGGCCATGAGACTTAGACCTGAGTGCAAAAATGGAGGCTCTAGCCCCTTCCAGAGCTGAGATATCGAAACTCAAAAATTCGGCCCGAAAAAAAAACGACAGTGGTACCCCTTACGTTTTTTTTTTTGGGCGAAAAATTAAGTTTCTCCAATCTTCCCAAAACTCTGGATTCTGATAGAGGGCCATGAGACTTAGACCTGAGTGCAAAAATGGAGGCTCTAGCCCCTTCCAGAGCTGAGATATCGAAACTCAAAAATTCGGCCCGAAAAAAAAACGACAGTGGTACCCCTTACGTTTTTTTTTTTGGGCGAAAAATTAAGTTTCTCCAATCTTCCCAAAACTCTGGATTCTGATAGAGGGCCATGAGACTTAGACCTGAGTGCAAAAATGGAGGCTCTAGCCCCTTCCAGAGCTGAGATATCGAAACTCAAAAATTCGGCCCGAAAAAAAAACGACAGTGGTACCCCTTACGTTTTTTTTTTTGGGCGAAAAATTAAGTTTCTCCAATCTTCCCAAAACTCTGGATTCTGATAGAGGGCCATGAGACTTAGACCTGAGTGCAAAAATGGAGGCTCTAGCCCCTTCCAGAGCTGAGATATCGAAACTCAAAAATTCGGCCCGAAAAAAAAAACGACAGTGGTACCCCTTACGTTTTTTTTTTTTGGGCGAAAAATTAAGTTTCTCCAATCTTCCCAAAACTCTGGATTCTGATAGAGGGCCATGAGACTTAGACCTGAGTGCAAAAATGGAGGCTCTAGCCCCTTCCAGAGCTGAGATATCGAAACTCAAAAATTCGGCCCGAAAAAAAAAACGACAGTGGTACCCCTTACGTTTTTTTTTTTGGGCGAAAAATTAAGTTTCTCCAATCTTCCCAAAACTCTGGATTCTGATAGAGGGCCATGAGACTTAGACCTGAGTGCAAAAATGGAGGCTCTAGCCCCTTCCAGAGCTGAGATATCGAAACTCAAAAATTCGGCCCGAAAAAAAAACGACAGTGGTACCCCTTACGTTTTTTTTTTTGGGCGAAAAATTAAGTTTCTCCAATCTTCCCAAAACTCTGGATTCTGATAGAGGGCCATGAGACTTAGACCTGAGTGCAAAAATGGAGGCTCTAGCCCCTTC